GAAAAATTCTGGCCCAAACCTGTAAATTACGGTTTGTGCTTGGATAGTGATGATAATTACTATGATACGACATCCGTGCTTGGATAGTGATGACAATTTCTATGATACAACTGTTTGTTGCTTGGATAGCGATGACAGTTACAATGATACTACATTGTGAATATGACTCATCGTGCGTAAATATTCTATTCAATCTTGAATCGCTTTTATCATCTTATCAATACATGTCACATGTTACAAATAGACGACAGCGCGAGGGTATTATTGCCGAAAAACGATTCATAAACAAACATGTTAATTACTTTAAAGGGTGGGAGTCGTCGTGCCGTGTCCTGTTCGATACGGGACTCGCAGCGACGTATACAACGCGTGTAAAATACATTGCTTATTTTTATGAAATTGGAACTCGCGCTGCGCGACGACCACCGCGCTTTAATATATCCCTCGAGCTGCATGCATGTTGCGTTTTTTCTCTGACGTTCTGGCCAATCTTGGTAACAAAATAAACTGGACACATAGTTGCCAAGGAAACATCAAGAAAATACAATAGCTCATAAATTATTCATGTCATGAGAATTATGGTAATTATCTATAATATATCTATATGATGCTGGTTAGTTTATTGTCCTGTCTGTCAGTTGATAGAACATAAGCTATTATGACATGAAATGAAATTACAGTCTGCATCGATGCCGTTGTGATAAGGTTAGATTTTCGAATTATATCTGTTATTGCTACTTATTCGGGCAAATTTGATTTTCATACCAAATCTATCGTTGCTGTAGCCTCATATTCGGATGTTTCATTTTTTTTTGGAAAGCTGTTTAAGAGACCCACAACTGAGGACCAGTTTGTAGCCTAACTGTATGGATTTGGTTTCCTTTTTTCATCCAAAATGTCTGGAAAGATTATAATCTCGCCATTCATGTCAAAATGGGTCTCTTGCAGGATATACACCCACGCTTAAAGCTTTTCAAACGGTATTTCCCCGATTTACAAAATTGCGCTTTTCAATTCCAAAAAATGCTAATTCTGGCGGAATATCTCATATTTTACAAAACTAATCATGCCCAACAAGAATTAGTACATTACTTGAAAAGACGATTCTCGGAAGCTATTTTGTTTTGCATTTTGGCTGTTTTGAAAGTGGATTGTAAGGTGTCGGTTGCACACCGCGGGGATTTACTAAAGAATACGTCTATCGGGCGCTATTTAGTGTTTTGTCAAATTATCAAATATTTAACAATATATAATAGAAAATCCGCTATTCTGCACACAAATGTTCGACAAAGCTAAAATGTCTTCCATATATTTTGTACAGGTGTCCGTCCGTTCATTTGGATGATGGCTGAAGTAAACTTTTCCCAATCCAGTATCTTACTCACCCGTGACTGTGGCATGTCGTCCCTAACCAATACCGCCATACACACAGTGATAGGTATTCTGGGAATTGGTGTCAACGTTTTATTTCTCTTCGTTATTTTCACGCTACGAAAGTCCAAATTATCGGCAACCACTTATTATTTAATCAACACCACCATTGTGGATTTGTTATATCTGGGTTATGAACTCTCTCTATATACGCAATGTGTTGTGAGCTATGGCGTTGAATGTACCGCCGAGCGCTTCTATGGACAATATGGTGTGCTAGTCATATTTCTTACGTACGTAATTCTATTGACCGTCGTTGCCATAGCAATCGATCGATTCATTGCTGTCATAAGACCTTTATACTATAAATCACAAGCATTGAGGAACATGCGAAAAATCGTCCTCATGGTTATCTTGGTGTGGATTTTTGGTATTATTTCTGTGCTTGCTAGGGTCGTGCACACAACATCTCCGAAAATTGATGCTCGCATATTTAGCTTAATTGTTGAAACCACTGTCATCGTGTTCTGTTTAATTGTGGTAATCAGTATATATGTCACCATAGCAATGAAAATAAGGAAATCCGTCCACGGTGTGAGTGCAAGGGAGAGGAAGACACTACCGGTGTCCATTCTGACTGCTGTCGTATTCTTCATATGTGTTCTTCCAAAGGTTCTCGTGAGACTTTATTTGATATTTGAATCTTATGAAATCTACATATTTTCGACTGAAACAATAATATGCATCGTTGTTATCAACTTCAACTTGACATTCCTGAACGTCGCCATCAACCCATTTGTTTATCACGCAGGAAGTACCGAGTATCGAACAGCTCTGAAAAAAGTTTTACTTTGCACTTGGAGGAAAGTGTCCCCAAACACACAAGAAAACACGACGAATACCAGCTAGATGAGCCATTGCAGAGTCGTGTCGTATTACTGTTTTTACTGTGTTCATGTTTAATACTAGTACCAAATTATTCTGTGATCGACAGTCCCATTTAAAAAATATTCGCACCATTTTACAAAATATAGCAGACCTGAGTATGAAATAATACTGTAAATACATTAATTATTTACTGAGTTTTAATTTCACTATTTTCGCTGATAAGCAAAATCCACTAAATTAAATCTACGGGAACATGTAAAATAACAATAAATCGACAAATTCGTAAAATTAAAACCCAATGATTATGCTAAAAAAACATCGAAATAGTGAAAATAAACAGTAGTCATGTTCCAAGAGAATAAAAAAAAAATGAAGATACGTTTGAATAAATAATATTGATTGATACAATCCGTCTAGCAGACTAATTAATGCCAATGTGCATAGATTATGCGCGTATAACCCCTTCGTCGATACAGAATAGAGGGCGCTGTTTGAGAAACAATTAAAAAGTACCTTGTGGACGTCGCCCGTTCACTGACTGTTTTGTGTTCACATACGTTACTTTCGGTAAGTGGCAAGATCAAAGTAAACTATTATAAATTGATAAGAAACGAATAAAATATATAACAGATCTTTTCACTGAAAATGTGTTATTGCACATGTCTGTCACGTGATATATTATATTCGTCACTGGTCACTGGTCTCTACACTGGAAAAGATAATTTCTTTATTTGTTAGACAGACAATGCCATGAATACGAAAACAAATGACGTCATCATTTAACACTGGTATACAACCAAGTAATTAGATTTCTTTAGTCGAATCAAATAGACCACTTTTCAGGAAGTAACAAGACTGGGGTGCAGAAATACGCCTGCTTTGTCATGGTGGAAAATACAAACATGTCAGTTTGCTGATAGTCGATAAACGAGAATTTTATTATTTGTGACGTCGATTGGTACACCCAGAAGCACGATATCACGCGTCCAAATTTACGTTTCACCCCAAAACGGTGGCGGGCTTGCGAAACACCGTATCTCTGATTTCCGGGAAAGCCGTCTATAAATCCGGGATGACAACCGGGATAATACCAAGTACGTGTGAAATAGGTTTAGACGCGAGGCGTTATTTCGCCATTAAGGAAATTGGAAACAAGTTCTAAAAATAGATTAGAATATTTTATATTGATCTATATTTGCATACAATCCATATAAGCGTCTTGTGAATAGTGAATTGCGTATATTACACATTTTGACATCAGAAGCCAGCGTCATCGATGCAGCATAGAGGGCGCTGTCTGAGAAACAATTGCTGATATCATCCCAACAATGACTGTGTTTAGTCTTAAATTGCGGGTTAGGTCACAACATGTGGGGACTGAGAAATATCGAAGTGAACTATAATAAATATGTCAAAAAATAGAGAAGAGACCTGGTTGTGTCAAAGACAATAGAGACTGGATCATCGTCTTTGGTTAGGTCCACTCAGACATCCTGCAGAAATATATTCAATTTACATATTTAGGAATATGACATAGACCTTCAAGGTAGCAAGAAATGGACAAATATTTGGTTTACTTATATAATTGTATTTTTACTTGAATTCAGCTCTCTGGACCACCGGTTATATGCGCCACTCAGTTTGTTTTTAAACAAATATTACAAACTCGCTTTATGTAGTTTAAACGCAAAGATATTTAATTTTATATTTTTATATTTAATATTTATATTTAATATATTTATATATTACATTTTTTGTTTTCAATCAATAATAGGCAATACTCATATCTGGTTTTACGTAGAAATGCGTTATATAAATTTATAGATATATATATTTTTAATGAACACTTTAACAAAAAGTGAAACTTATCTTCAACGTGAACGGAACGTTTTTTTTAAACGCCCTCACACTTCTCGCAACTTTAATATATATTTTGCCGACACGAGTTTGACGTCAGCATTCAGCAACCAATGAGCCGTTGTGTTGACAATCTTTACTGATTGTACTTTGCATTGTGAGCACATGATTAAACTTGATTCTTTTGGTTACAATTTTAACTTTTATTTATTTATCAATTTGTCGATTGAATTATCAATTGATTAATTACCGGTAGTCGTCGTTCATTATTTATTTATTTATTTATTTATTTATTTATTTATTTATTTATTTATTTATTTATTTATTTACTAATTAGATATTCAATTTATTTATTTATTGGTTATTTCGGGGGATGGTGCATCATATACACACCACTTGACATTTTCTCTAAACCATTCTGCAACCTTCCACCATGATATTTAGAACACATCTCATGTGATTGGGAGACGTGAGATAGGTCTATAATTCACAATAAGAGTATTGTCACTGGCCCAACACTGACGTTTTTAATGAAATGTTGAAAAGTGAGCAATAGAGGGCGCAAACTCATATGAAAGTTTTTTTTTCAAAATTATACCTGCGATACAATTACTTTCGATTGTTTTCCCTTTGCTCAATTAACTCAGAACAAAACCGTACATGTTTTAAACGACTACGATTGTTATTTGACCTGATTTTGCATTCGCAATGGGGGTACATGTAGAACATTCAATGCGTTTCATAAAATTGTACTTTTCTGGAAAAAAACATGCAAGTGTTTTTATTGGCTTGAGCAAAGGTCGTTACACTGGAAAAGAAGAGTGTATAATATTACAGTACAACTGTCTTGTCTCTTTCACTAACAAAGTTCAATGTAGATCGTATTATATTCCAACTTCTTATTTTATTATCGTAAAAAACATTGTCGATTGTCACATATTATATAAAAATGATTTTATACTTATGTGTATTATCTATAATCATTATGAGGTGAGAATAGAAGCAATGAAAACATTTTTGGGTATATTTCAATATAAATTATTATTATTATTATTATCAATGTTGTCTTTTATTGCGGACATCTGTGTGTACGTTAATAATGACGTCATCCTTCACGAATTATTTATGTAAAATTGTTATGTTCGATGAGAGCCTGTGACCTCTGAACCCTGGCTCCCATTGGCAGCCTAATGTCACTACGAGAGTAATACTCGTAGCTTAACTTGACCGCAGTGCATTATGGTCTATTTCCCCGCACACAGGACTGCCAAATCTCTCCTTTCTGTATCACGCAGTGCACCACAAACTTTGGAGTGACTTTCGTTGCCATTTTTTGACACAAAATGTTTGAGCATATCAACCATTGCACCTTGTCTTGTTACGTTGTCCGATTTATAAAGTGATAACTGTTTTTGTGTATATCCAAGTCGTATTCCAAAGGCCTCCCATTCAATGCCTAGCCGTGACGTCAGCTCCTCCAATGCTGTGTCGTCAAGAGGACCTGAAACGAAAACATTAAATGTAACAGGAACTTTGAGAAAGGAGAATATGCAAAACAGAACCGAGGCATGTCGATTTCAGAATCTATCGTGAGGTTTTCATTCTAATACGGGTATAATCACGTGACTAGTCCAATACGCGACTGGAACAGAGAAACGTGTCTTACCAAGACGCACTTTGGTGGAAATCATCGATATTAAACCATTTTTGATATAGCGTCGTGTTAACATGACTACACTTTCCACGAAATCCCTGCATATGGTTGGAGTTTACGGATAACTTTAGAGATGGCCATTAGAAACTCAAAAAAATGTGCAAATTAATGTTTCCATTCACTTAGTTTTGTGTTAGATTTATTTGCACAATTTGATTATAATTCAGATTTAGACGATTACTAGTATTACCGACGTTTTCAATTCGGGGAGAACAGTTCTACTGTTTGTTTGTTTCAAATATATGCAAAGGAAATAGACACTGCTTTCCCGAACCAATCCATACATTGTTCAGCCTTATTATCGCCAACTCGCAATGATGTCGAATGCTACCACCAGGGCGAACTCGTAGTTACCTTGTTTTCGTATCCTATCGGCTGCATCAGCTGAAGTTTCATCCACCTTTTTAATACCTTCGATGAGTCGAGACCACGTACACATCCCCTTCTCCGCAACCCTCCACAATCGAAGCATTCCACGAGCTCCATTGATGCTGTCCGTGTTCTTGTTTTCGTCGCCTTCCTTATCCAAGGCATCCGCACTGATTCCCAGTTTCTCAGCGACGTCCTTGTAATTGTCCTTTAGTCTCACAGAAAGTGCAAATATGTCTTCTTCTCCGAGAAGATCGTAAATGTGACGTGGCTGGTACGTAGCGACGTCAGTGACAGGATCTTGAAAAATACGTTAAGTTAGAGTGAATCACCGAATATAAGTGACAAATAAAAACAACACAAAGACTTCTAAACACAGACCTTTCAATTATCGACTTGGTATACTGTAAATGCGTTAATTATTCACTTGGTTTTAGTTTATTTTGCTATCTTCAAGTTCGCCACTAAGTAAAAACAAGTTAAATACACGTAAACATCATGTAAAATAACTATAGAATTCATTGATTTATTAGCAAATTTGTGAACTTAAAAGTCCAATGAATTTGCTCAAAATATCAAAATAATGAAATTAAATGTCTGTGAAATAAACATTTTACAGTATTATCGTGAGCTGATGTACACTCAAATTCAAGACGTATCTCGCATCCAATGGGTTACTGCCCTCAACGGTATCATTTGGAACAGAAACTTACCTGGTAGGTGTGGGTCTATAGCTCTTCTTGTATCGGTTTTTTTTAGTCCTTGTGATCGTTTTTTAGTAGTTTTTTTTATATATTTTGTGTCATTAAATAACACTATTGGGATTTTATCGACACAGAAGAACTATGGTTTCTTCCATGGACTTGCGTAACACAAACGTGCGACGCTAAATGGCATCGCAAATAAAAGTCGATAAAAGCACAATAATTTCTTGCATCACACCATCAAATCTAACGCCAATCGATAAATTGTTTATTAAACTCTCACCAAAGCCAAAACCATGACAAAAAACATTAGTTTGATGTTCTCTTTCCCGAGATTTAGTGTTCTCGGCCACACGTAACTCCGGGGGCAGCCATTTTCTTCTGGTCGAACGAGGACAATATGACATCACTGGAGAAGATATTCCCGAGAACTTGTTGTATACTCCCGTAAAGCGAACTACTCGTCATCGCCTACTTCAGATGCATGCGTATACTGCCCCCATTTTTTTATGAGAAGTGTACAAATAAATGTCTTCCCATGCATGTAGGATGCAGGGGAAATAGACAACAATAGTAAATACCACGAAGTCCATAGCAAAATACTAATAGTACCAGACTACCATTTCCCGGCGTTTTAGCTTTTCCACTTTCCGAGGGAAGTTCTAATACTGTGACGTCATTTAGCAAAGTGATTTTGTCCTCGTACGACCTTATGGCTGTCGCTAAAGTTACGTACGGTTAGGGTGCTAAATACCAGGAAAACAACTTCAGAGAGATCATTTTTGTCACGGTGGCCGCCCTGGTGAGTGTTTATTAAACGTCCTACCGATTGGTATATATTGTGTTATATGGAAATGATGTACTTTTATCGACTTTTATTTGCGATGCCATTTGGCGTCGCAGGTTTGTGTTATGCATTTCTATATAGTATGGGAGGAACCATAGCTCTTCTGTGTCGATAAAAATCCCAATATCTAAAAATAACAAATTTAATGATGATACAAAATATACCAGTAATGACTAAAATATCATCACAAAGACTAAATACAGACACAAGAAGAGATATGGACCCACAGCTACTCGCCGGATGTTCTATGTGAAATTATAGTACGGCAGCAGCGAGCAATGATGGTGCTTTTGATGATTTCATCGCTTAACCCATCCCGCTTTCCACATCCGTATTCGCATATGTTCCCATACCCACCCTCTTGCCGCTGAGTTTATTCTACCTCACACCTTACGGGTGACGGACGTACACGCTTGTATGAGCGCTAGTTCGTGTCCTACACACGTTCAACATGCACCACGACCAGGGAGGAAACGCGAAACTAAAAATAAAAACAACATAATATAGCGATATATTTACTTACTAATTGTTTGCATTTCCTTTATATTTTCTCCCAGATTTACGTCAAATTCTTCCACTACTTTGGCAAGTGTTTTAACAGTGGCTTCTTTGCCCTGCTTAGTTGCCCAGGCGCTGATCGTGTCTGTCGCCGCTTTCACGTCGTTGTCTCTGCACAGTGTTCTTATTTTCTCTAGTTTATCCTTCCTCACCCCTAGTTTCAACCCCACACGCCAGTAGTAACTCGCGATAATACGACCCAATTTATCGATGTTGTCTTTATCGACGACTGCATCTTTAGGTGGACTTATCACCGATGTAGGGATTTTCAGTTTGTTGATATTTTCCCGCGATTTCCTTTCCATAGCCGCAGGGTTGCAATCTACAAAATAAACACGATAACAGAAATTAAGGCGGGGGTCGTCTCCTGCGCACGCGCGGGAATTGAGTCCCAAGCGATGATAACAACACACGCTAAGAACGCAAATGCTCATAAGTAGACGTCTGTTTGTAAAACAATGACACGCTATGGCCATCTGACGCATGCGCATGTGACGACTCCCCGCTTTAATTATAGAATCATAGTCGTTACGCCGAGTCCTGTTCGATAAGGGGTCCATGTGACGTATACGATGCATGTAAAAACATTGTTTACACGTAACACGCGTGACGACTGTGGTGCTTTACGTCCCACATTCATTTCATATAACTTCATATAACCCAACCGGCATTCATTTCTCAACAGACCTCCATTAACCCAATCGACGCCGCGGCTCATTTAACAACTTACCCAGTTGGCATTCATTTAATATCCAACTGGCATTCATTTGTCCAATTGATATTCATTCACTCAGTTGACATTTACAAAACTGACATTCATTCTATGCGCACTTATTTACCCAATTGACATTCAATGACCTAATTGATATTCATTTACCAAGTTGATAATCATTTTTTCGATCGGCATTCATTTACCAACTGACATCCATTTACTAATTTAAATTCCATCACTAACTCAATTTACATTCTTTAACCCAGTCGACATTCATTTACCCAAATGATATTTATTAATCCAATTTATAGTTCTTAACCCAATTGACGCCGTCGTAATACAGTCAAGAATTCTGATAAAAACACACATTACAAAATAAAAAACACATTTTCAACAGTAAAGCTGCAATATGTTTAATCTTGTGTGCCAATTGTTTTCCAGTTTTTATCCGGCAACTACAAATTCGTGTGCTATACAAATGACGACCTGTTCCTACCTTGTATGCTGTAGTCCAGTTCTTTTACACGTCTAGCGATGGAACCCAAGTCTCGTTTCACATAGGTGTCCCATTCTCGGAGATGTTTTCCAAGCCTGTTCAAAGCCTCCTTCATCTCCGCATTTGTAAGTGTTGTGGTTGCCATGGGAGTTTCTACATACCAATAACTGGAGAATACATTAATCAGTAAAAATAGAAACAGTAAGATGGGATAATGTGGGATATCGTCCGAGTAGGTGGAATATAATGGGTATAGAACGTGATAGAATTGAATATGAAATAGGATAGTTGGGTGAATAGCCAGAAATGGATTTCGATGGGCAAGGTAGGGTAAGGTGGGTGGAGAGGTGGCTGTGATGGGATGGTCATAGATGGAATGGGGTATATTTGGAATAGGAAAGGATAGGATAAGATAGGTTGGGGTTGAATGATTTGGGGTGGGTTGGGGTTAGGGTTGTCATAGTTCTGATGGAATAGAATAGGATGTTATATAATAGGATGTTTTATGATGAGCTGGGTGGC